AGAACAGAGACGCGAACTGGTGAACGCGTTCCTCAACGAGGTTCTCCCTTTTAAACCGGATGTAATAGCGGGAGATCTCAATAATATTGCGTCGAGGCTCACCTTAAAAGGTGGAGACGTTCACCCGCGAAACAGTTTGTTTTCTCTATACCTGGAGAAGAAACTTGCAGCATTCAACAAAATAGCAGGAAGGCACTCACAAGTGCGACATCTTTGCTTGAACAACTCCGACCAGCACAGACTGGCACGTGCAGATCGTCTACCGGCGGACCCGGCGAAGAAAGTTGCTGACCTTGACTGTATCAACAGTTATATCCTTGACTGGAGTAAAACGCCGCACACGGCGTCACCTAGTCCAAGAGAGGTCACACCTGCCGCTGAAAGAACATACTGGGAACGAATCTCAGATATGTGGCAGGACACGAACAACAACAGGGATATTGATATCCGTCTGTTTGTTTCAGTCAAGCAGTACTATTCAACTTTTTCTAACCTTGACCTATGGTTGGGTCCCACTGACAAAGATTGGCATAGCCCACTGGGCTTCACGATACAACCAATCCTTACAAAAGGGAAACACAACCGGTCAGATGCCCAGGTCCAGAAAATCGCTGACAAGCGAAAGGCTTACAAGCAGCGTAATGCTGAATACTGGGGTTACAACGATTCATTCGTTTACTCATCCGGCAACAGCTGGTACGACAAATCGCAACCATCAGGTAGCCATCACAGATATGGAAGATTCTGGGAGTGGCCACAGCCTGAACGTCCCAGCGAGCCTGAAGGTCCTCCTCCAAGAAGGAACCAGGAATCATCGTCCTCTTCACAACAAGATCTACCAAGATCAAGGTCCAGGCCTCAAAGAACCAATATTGTTGACAAGCTCAACATGTCTTTGGAAGAGCTGGATGGACTAGAAGAAGAACCGTCACCAACAAAAAGTGACATCGAAGAACACGAAAGAGAAACATCAAACTTGATGTCTGCTCAGAGAGATGAAGAGGAACAAGAGGACGAATCCTCCAGTCGGAGAAGAAGAAGGAAGGCATCGCGTCCACCGTCTGCTCCGAGCGGCAAGGCACTCAGAACAGCTGCTACAGCAGCGGGGTTGTCGGGCTGGTTCGGACACCGCAACCGAGGTGGAGCAAACGCAGAGTCTACCAAGACTGACGAGACTTCACTTCCAGACTCACTAACCAGTGAGCAAAACTTCTCCGTCTTCAGCATCACGTGGAATGTGTTCCTGCTGCTAATGGGCTTACACTGGATGTGGAAGCAGATTACCAGGCCTCCTATCAGATGTATGGAGCGCCAACAACCAAAATCAAGAGCAGCAGCGAACCAAAGAGTTCCATTCCTCGAACCCGAGGATGAACCGCAGACGCGTGAACCTTTAGGACCCAACAGGGTTAATTCCGGAGAAACAACTGATCTGCGACCTATTTGGCATACTTCCCGAAGCGAAGTCTACCATCTCTCAGACAGCTGTTACCAGCTTAAGCAAGCAAGAGATGTTTGCAGGAAGGTGCTGTGCAAAAACTGCCTCCATGCAGTACAAGTTGCGGAGATTCGCAGGAATGATCCTTTCCAAAGAGGTGATACACGACCACGTGGCACCGAAAGAGACATTGAGCGCTTCCAGACCTACGATGATGCAAGTAACACTCCTCACATGACGCAATTATTTCAGGATGCCTTGCATGCACAAATGGCCGAGGAAGCCATGCAGATCACCTACACATCGATCCCTAAGGGATCCACGGCAAAGGCCAGAGGTACATCTGCACTTCCAAGTGCCGCATCGTCATCAGCGCCCAAGGCAATGCCACCAGGGCCTAACAAGGCTAACATGTCACCTCCACCTAAGAGTCCTCCGCCGAAGGCGAAAGGAACAGTACCTTCTGATCCTCCAAGACCAAAAGGTCCTACCAGAAGAGGAGGTCAAAATCGGCGTATTCAACGAAAAGCAGCTAGAGAAGCCCACAACAGTGGACTCTGCACCTATGCAGACGCTGCACTTGACCAAGCCAATCAAGGCCAGGCAATTAACGTTACGTGTCGAAACATAGTATCAAGACACATCAGCTCTATCGATGCAACGGTAGAAGCATCCGGCCAGTTTACACAACGCGTGCTACAGCACGTAGAAACATATGATGAAGAGGAACCGTGGAGCACGGAGTTCCTACCAATCGTGGAAGTCCTATTCAGGAACTTAAGCGGCGATGAAACAACTGTCATACATGACAATCAAACGGTAACTATGCCTCTTGCGAAATACACAGACCTCCTCAGAATCGCACAAGCATTGCGAGGCTCTATCCAGAGAGACAAGGAGGAAAGAAAGGAACATCTTGACACCATCCAAGATACTCTATCCAGAGTAGAAATCCTTCTCACAGCACTGAAGGACTCAAGGACAGTCTTTAATCAATTGGTCAATTCCTCACTAGAGATAGAGCGAAGAAATAACAATCTCAAAAATGTCCTCGAGACACTCTTTGATGACCAAAGCTCTGAGGAAGACCAATCAGAATCTGACAATGAAGAAGTCCTAACTCCTTCTGCACCACAGTACTGGAATAACCTTTATGCCCACGCCTTATCTCCCTCAGGAGATGAAAGTGAAAGATCATGGGCGTCCTCAGACGGACAGCTTGAAAGAAGAAGGGCTGAACGGGCAAAGGCTAAGCAGCCGCAACCGGCAAAAGCCAAGGCAACTCCAGTCAGCTCACAAGCTGCTCCAAAGGCCGAGCCAAAGGCGACAACATCCAACCATGGATATGATACTGCAGACGCCGCCTTCACCAGGGCTGAGAACAGATTATTCGGAATCTTCTCAAGTTCCGAAGAAGACCACTCAGACCCGGATGAGCCACATCCGAACGTCTACGCTCGAGCCTATGATCCAAACCTGGATCCTAATCTGAGATAAGAAAAATCTCAGAGTTTCACAATAGTGAATCACAAGGCTCTAACAAGAGCACAATGAGTGGCTGCATAATTCGGTAGTAGAACATCACCAGATCTGATCTTGTACAGATGATCTCTCTGACAAACATGCATGAGTGTGTGCGCAAAAGGAGTGGAGTTTCCTCAGCAGTATACTTCAGTGCTATACCTAGCATACTTAATATGCTGTTTTTATAATGAGTCCAAAAACTCCGCAACTGTGACAGTGGGCATAACAGTATATGTTTGAATGTGCGGCCATGCTTTCGGTAAAAGAAAATTAGTGTCTGTTTGAAACCATAAACCTCTAAAGGGGTAGCTCTAACAGGTACCTACAGCAATGGCTGCATGCTCATACATATACATTCCGCTGCCCATTGGCTCACAGTGGTTTTACCATATTGAGACAAGACAAGCTCTCCTTGCGTAGCAAGACAAAACAACTACTGTCCGTGTGCAGGGCGCTGCCCTTTGATCCTTAGGGAATAAACTGGTCATACACCTCCTTACAAGGAGTATCCCTTGGGGGTGTATCGGCACAGGGGGGGGGGGGTTATTGTTCTCTCAAAATGGGAACAACAAGGGGGGGGGTGGGGGGGGGGGGGGTTGTTGTTCCCCAAATCCATGAACAACCGCCCCCCCCACCCCTCAGCGGTCTGAAAAGAACACAAGCTGTTCGGGGCCGTGCGCTTTCATGAACCCGTGCAGGAACCTGGCTCTGCGGCGGCCTCGTAGAGATTTGCACCTGGCTCGCCTCCCTGCGCGGCTGGGCAACGGCTGAAGTCTTTGGCCTGCCCTGGCAAACAGGGCGAAAGCAGATTGCGTGACCCATCTGACAGCCACTAGCTACCCGTGCACTGATACAGCTTTCACTTCTCCGATTGCGAATTCGATCTGATACTCATGTCCAACTTGTGTACAAGTGTTGAAGATGCCACGAGTCTTCTTCTTCTGCTTACCCCTAACTCATCTTCCTAGCATGACGGGCACCAGCAGCAGGTGCACAGCGCCAGCACGTCCCAGCACCACCACAGCTGACAAGTGCCTAGTTCGCCCCCCCCCCGCCCCCCACTTCCACTGTCAATGCCAGAGCAAGTTACAACTGCAGACGGAGGGATAGCAATAAACTTTGAGAAGAAGTGGTTGCCTGAGCACAGGCGAAGAGGGAGAGGGAAGCAGGCCAATCGACGTTCTCGCACGATGCCCAACAGAACGAGAAGTTCATGGCGACATATTTCACTCTCAATAGTCTTCAGTAGCATCCGAGCTACATGCCAGAGTCTCGGACCTGCAAGTCTCCGAAACAAGCATCAAGCTGTAGCTTACGATGGACCTGCATACAGGCTACAAGCCATGTTTGTATCTTCAGCCGTGACCAACCATAGTGCATGCAGACATGAATCACAGCTGTTGGACTCCACACGCATGAACGCTAGCCTCTCCAGCTGAGTCTTCACTTATTGCCTGGTGCTCTCTTTAGCGTCGACACTGACAAGTCCGCGTTCCGGATCGACAAAACCGTGCACACGCCTGTGGCAGCCACGGCACGTCCCTTGCTCCAACCTGGGAAGTTCGGGCCATGTACTGAGTTGGCTCGACTCCAGTCACCTGTCGAAGACCTCAATCCCTGTGCCTCTGCAGCCTCTAGTCCTTCAGTGCAGCCTTGTGACCGGGGCATCTCCGCAATGTGACGGTGTCCATCGCCGTTGCTTGGAAGCCAACTCGTGAGGGCAGCGCTAGGAAGCCGAAACGCCTAAGCAGAGAACCTCAACAAAGCATTTCATGCGCTGACGTGTGTTGGGTCGGCTTTGGGCCTCTCGGCTCAGTCAAACCGTCACGGCAGTATGTCGCAACCGAACTCACAGTCGTGGCACTCCCAAGTGAAGTCACCATGGACACGCAGGAGACGTACAGCGTCGTCGCAAAGGTTTGCGATCTCTGCTCGGCCAAAGCAGCTATGTCTAGCTATGTTTAGGGCAGGTTATTGAGAATGGTGGGGTTTCTTCCTTGACACGGTCTGAGTGATTGAACAGCTGTCCGCCGCCAGCCTTTCGCCACTGCGCTGCCACAGCGCAGGCGCCTCGACTGCGCAGCTTCAGAGGCTCTAATCGTGAAGTTGTCAGAGTCGGCCTGGAATTGGAATCTCCAGCTGTATCTTGTGGCAAGCTGTTCTGCAATCGTTGTCGCTGTGGATCTGTCGCCTAGCTGGCAAAGAGGCGGATGTGCTCTCCATCCTGAAACCTCAAAGCTGACACTTGCGATGCTTCGGTTTTACACCTCTATGTCAACACTATGTAACATGTTTGCACGCAGACAATTCCTCGGCCGTGTGAAGAAAATGCTCCAATCCACGCCGTTCTTCTGGCAACTGGACCCAATGCTCGTTCAGCTATTCGAGAGCTTTGTCAAGGACCACCGAAACACAGGATTTGCTGCAGGCACCTGTCGCTGAGCAGAACGATATCAAATCGGCCGTGGGCGCTCCTGTTGCTGCGTCTCTTTGGCACTTCTGATGCTGACGAAGCTTTCAGTGCTGTGCGAAGCACTGTTCGCTGCTGTCATTGCCTTCTAGCCTTTTGCATTCACTTCAATTCTTCGCACGTAGCCAGCAATGCAGCCTGATGCAGTGGGCATTTCCGGCGAGCCTGCCTGTTGTTTGGAGCCTTGGAGCCTCGACCTGTGCCCCGAACGGTACACGACATCCTGCAGTTGGTTGAACTTCTTCGGTCAGCCCTCTGGGCAGCAGACATGCGTAGGACCCCGTGTGTTGCAGCTTCTCCGACTAACATCGCGAAACCACAGCAAGCAATTGTCAAGCACTACGCAGAGACGCTTGGTGCCCTCGGCTTTCTCTCAGCTCCTGAGTTCACCTGGAGCTCACCGAGCCTTGCAACACGCACATGCTTTCAGATGCTCATCTCCAAAGCCTGAATACTAAAGCTACTAAATCTGAATATTGATCATCATACATCAGGCTTGTAGAAGTTTGAGAGTGAAATGCTGGATACGCGGCAATAGGCGGCTCTCAGTTCTCGGCTTGGTCGACCATATGCCGACAAGAAGGACAACATGTGCTCAGCTGCCGGCAGTTGAAGCGCCTGTTCCCATTTACCACCACGCCTCAATAGCTCTTGCGCTAAAATTTCCAGTCGAACTCCATGGCTTCGCAAGATGCTCCTGTGTATCTGTTTCACAATGCTCTAACGCTGTGACGTAAGCCATGGCCTGTCACTATTTAACCTACCTATTACCTATGCACACACGCTTTGAATAGTAACCACGGTCAGGTAACATCCGATTTGGCTGATGGCCACGCAATACTCGCTCTAAGGCTCCAGCTCGCACGCATCTATCCTGTCAAGTCGCACAGCCAAAGCTCTGGACCATTCAGGTGATGCTGCGCGGAAGGAAAGGGAAGGGGGGGCCGATCGACTGCGGCAAACCGCAAACCCTGATGGGCACACTGGAATCACTGTGAAATGTTGCGAAATCAATTATCTTGATGGTGCGAGAGCGGCAGAATGGGAGGTAGCAGAACAACAACCTCAGAGCGAAACCCTCCGCCAACAAATCCGTAGCATCTGGGGCCCCAGCGCAGCATTCCACACTGCCACGGGGGCAGCTCGAGCAGCTGTCGCAACTGCAAGAGTTTCTAAGGCCTTAGGAGCCGTGGTGTTTGGGAGATCATCCTGGAGCCGAGGATCCGCTACCCTCGGCTCTGTCCATTTATATAATTGCTTGTCCAAGATGAAGGATTCAAGGATTCTGCAAGGCTTCTGCACGTACGGAGACGAGTCTTCGAAGCGGCCCTTATCTCAGTACTCGTCGCATGGTGTGAGCCATGTGCCGGTGCCTTCAGGCAGGAACATTCTGCACGCCACTGCCAGGAAGTGCAACTCTTACTGGTTACTGGATGGTGAAACTTTAGAAGTATATATATATATATATATATGTATATATATATATATATATATAGGCAGCAGAACCGGATCACTCGGAAAGGCATGATGGGGACGCCGATGATGATGATGATGACGGTTACCATCGTTATAGTTCCTTTCTTCTGCGGTTGCTGCTGCTTTTCGTTTGTTGCCATTGTAGTGTCTTCCATTACCTTTTTGCTGGGATCGCTTGCTTTGATCGTGCTCTTGCTTGCTGTTGTTGTTGTTGCTGCTGCTGCTGTTGTCACTGTTGTCGTTGAAGTTGTGACGGTTGTGATTTGAGACTACATGTATCGTTCTTGTTGTCATCATTAGTGGATCCTTGCTGGTATTCGGGACCTGAGTGCCGTACTCGCTGCCACTGCTGCGCCCTTCCCAAGGCGGTGATGGCCGCGCTGTAAGTTACCTGCAACTGAGAGTTCAAAGCACACAGTCCCGGATTCGGAAAGCTGAAACAGTCCAAGAGGCAGCTGCAAAAAATGCGACCATGACCATGTAATATGGGGGGCCTTACACCTTAGAATAGGGTTTTGGGGCATAGTCATTATATGCAAAGACAAAATGTCCAAACCCAGCCCTGAACCTTGAAAGCCCGAGCTCAGAGCCGCCTCATTCGCTGACAAACGCTGCGCTCCAAGGTTTTGGAGAATGTCTAAAGCCTCGAAGGCTCCACAGGCTCATCTCAAGGAGGGCACTCAGGGCGCAAGCACCCGTCATTGAGTATGCATAAATGCATAGGGAGAAGAGGACTTCTATAGGCAGACCTTGCAACAAAAACTCCATAGACTTGGCTCGGGGCTGCAAGCCAAGAGTTGGCGCCGGAGTCCTGGATATCTTCTCCACGTAACGCTGGCTTCCATCATTTCAGGCCTGCTCTTCGCTCTGGGATTGGGAGTCTTTTGGTTTGGAGCCTCATCGAGGCTTCAAAGCTTGTGGCACGTTGTGCTTCGGAACCCACTCAGGAGTGTCGAGTGCTTTTCTGCGATGTGCTCTATCTAGGGAGAAAAGTGAGGGCTAGTGCTTGCTGCTGCTGCTGCTGATGTGTGTGTGTGTGTGCGCGTGGTGTGGTAACTCTGCCATCGGCTCACCAAGCCGATCAATGCAGAAAGCACTCACCAACTCTCATCCGTGACTGAAAGAAGCATTGATGTTATCACACATAAAACTGGAAATCGTTCCAAAACACCAAGCCATCTTCTTGGGCTCTGGGTGTTCGATTCCCTGAGTCTGCTCGCTGCATACTGCTCTCATAAACACATGCTGCATGCATGCTTCGCAAGGGATACAAGCTCGGCCGAAACGGGGTAGGAGATACCTCAACCTTCCGAGAAGGGATGTCTTGTGTGTGCAAGCGGCTTTCCGCTTGACATCATGGGAGGTGGCAAGGACACCAGAACTTATTGCGATGTTCAAAACTGCAACTTGCCTCAGCACAGCACCCCACGACGGAAGAGAAGGCGACAACATCGGGCTCAAACTTGGCCTGACACTTCAACTTGAGAAGTGGATATTCAGCGCAAGCGCCGTGCAGTGCTGATAGGACTTTGTCTACGCTTTCGGGGCCTTTCTGGTCCAGCCTGTCAGAAAGAAACTTCCAAGCCACCCGAAAACTTCACGCATAGCTGCGGCACCTGATCCATCTCCTGCAAGAGCTGCAGGCTGAGTTCCTTGGCGAAGTGTACGACGAAGTTGGCTCGCAAGATTTGCATCTGCTGCAGTGCATACAAGTGCAAGCATGTTAAAGTACACTTGGATAGCCAGAGAAACGCGAGTGCTCGATTGTTGGTACTCGCTTCCCCCGTTGAATAAACACCAGAAAAAGAAACGCAGATTGGGCTTGCTGTAGTTTCCCTTACCTTTTCCACTGCTTCCTCCTCCCCCCTCCCCCTCCACCCCTTCCCCCGCCCTTCCTTCCTCCACCCCCTTCCAAATCCTGTCAACTTTTCGGTTGGTGAACCCCTGCTCCTCTCGCACTGCTTGCTGACCCTCCGATGCCATGGCATGCGAGCTGCACGCTTCCATCAGGGGCTGCGCTTTCTCTCTATACGCTGCGGGTTGAGGGTTGAAAGTTTGAGTCAGGTTATTTTTTAAAGCCTTTTTCCTCTCGGCCGTTAAGTTGTTGATTGGAATCCACGTGTGTGGCAGGCCTGTACCACTCTTGCCAGCAAAGACCGATCTCGCCCTCCACGACACATCGAAGTACCCTGGACTGACATGTTCCTGTTTCATTTCTCCTCCGACCCTGTACCAGCATCACCGTCAAGCTTTAGGGTTTGGGGTCTCGAGTTTCGGGTTTATGGCCTATGGGCCTTGGTAGGCTTTCGGGCTGCCGCTTTCCAAAACAATGCACCTGCTTCAAGCACCGCCGGGCCGAGGCGGACGACGCGAAGCGTTTAATCAAATACACACACTTTCCAAGTTTTTGCTGGGGGGAGGGGGGCTCCCTGTTTAACATCAGGGAGACAAATATTGAAGGCTCGCAACGCGGATCGGAGGCACTATGGAACCGTGCCATGCAGGGCTTTCCCATCATGCGGCCGTTTGTTTATTAGTGTCCACTTTCCGGGCTCTCGGCAATTTTTTTCCTTCGACAAGGTGTGCAGTACTGCATAGCTTCAGGGCCACGAAGGACTGCAACAGGGCCGAGCTTGCCGGGGTTGTGTGAATTTGCCAATCTCAGCAATGCAAGAGAAGAGGATTGAGGTCCAGTCTGCTTCTTTCACGATAGAGCCCCTAGTTGCGTCTCTCGTAACATGGAGCATATTCTGCGCAACCTTGACCCAAGAATTCGCAAGCTGCAATGCCACCAGACAAGTGCGTTAGTTGACGATTTTTGTTGTTTGCTGTGATCCATGCCTCGCACCTGGTGTTCGCATTCTGTATACCTCGATCGCCTGCGTCTTGAGCTTAGGCCCACACCCATGTCGTCACTGCCGCGACGACGGTGTTCCAGGCGATGTGGTCAGCTGGGACATATGCTGTTGTTCGTCGAGTCAACATGTTTTTGGAAGTGGCCCGTCGTCCCTATATCTGGTGAGGCTCTATATCAGTCTGGTCCCGTGAAGGAAGTTTCGGATTGAGGGACCTGTGCTAATTTCGCATCAGGAGTCGAAGACAAGGTTTTCGGTTGTTGCAGCACCTCTACTAGTATCGCTTTTCTTCCCCAAAAGCTTGAAGCCTACAAGAACCTCCTATCGGACCTATCGAATTCCCGTACCGATGACAAAGAGGCCCACAAAGGACCTCATCTATGCAGCCCTCCCATGACTCCAGCAATGCCCACAGGAGACGAGGAACTGCTGCAGTGAGCAAATGCGGGTGATCCCAGAATCTTGTGTCTCATGAAGCTCAGACAATCGAAGCCTTTAGGAGCCGGTGAAACCCCGCCTGCACAGCTTGCGCCCTGCATGTAGAAAAACAGATGCAGTGCCAAGTCCTCGGACGAATGCTTTTGCATTCATGCGGCCGACTTAGGCCGCACGTGCTGGACGAGTGAAGAAGCCTTGAGGAATTTACGTTTACTGGCGCAGAGAGCCATGATCAGCGAGCAAAGCAAATTTGAAGCAGTACACCCAGCTGCTAGCAGAAAGGCCCTTTGCAAGTCTAGGATATTCTAAGGAAACGGCCCACCGGGAAGCACCGGCCTCCAGGGCTGCACGGGACTTGCGACCGTAGCAATGGGCTTGCAACAACCCACGATAAATACCCTACGATATTGTGAGCATGCGCCAGCACTACACTGCGGAAACTGGACCAAACTGAAACAAACTTCTGTCGCTGAGATGCCAACGCATGCTGCAACGGCTGCACTGCAGCTCACTGCATCGGCCCGCAGGCGTGCGAGCTGCCTCGTTGCATTTCCATAAAGATTGAATGAAACTGTATGCCGAGGCCTGTCATCTCTCTGAGACGTCGGCATGGAGTTCAGCACCTCGAAGGCCTGTTCCCAGTTACCTGGCCACACGTGTCGAACACTCGCCAAATCCCAGTCCAAGTGTAAACTAGCAGCACCACACCTCCACATTCCTCATTGCACAGGTTCAGTGCAATTCCCAAGCATTCAGCAGCTGCTGCTAAAGAGCTCAAGCCAAGTCCAAACTCAACATCTAATGAGAGACTGGCCAAAGAAACAACTGGCACTCCTCCTCTCAGCCTCTCGGGCCATCAACGACGCCAGGTCTGCCCGCGCTAGCGCACGCGCTGAGAGCTGCATTCCAGGTGAAGATGTCCTTGGAGAAAGCATGCAATCCAACAGCGTTTCCGCGGTCACGGGCTCAGCACCCTTTACGGGAAAATCTGCAGCATGACTGTTGAACACTCCACGAACTCAGGCTACAGCAACCAGCATGGAAACCTTGATCTTGGACCCTTTGAAATCTCATTTTTGACAGGTCGCTGCTCGCAAGCCCTGCTGCTGCAAAGCCTCACCGGTGTTGCAATAGCACTTTGGGGGAGGGGCTCACAAAACCTGCGTGACTTTGATTTCGGCCGAAAATCTAGTCTCGGTTCGAACCTGGAGGCCTCTTGTTATCTACTTGTGCAAGCCCTCGAGCACGCACGTGCAGAAGTACATGAGCAAATGCGAAAACCACGAATTGCAGCGACATACAAATAATTTAACAAACCCAACCCTGCAAAAAAAGAGCAGGCATGTGTATGTAGTTGTATAAACAGATGTGTAAATATATACATATATATATATATACACACACGCACACATGCATGCATACCTCTACAAGTTGTCCAGATGTGCCAGCTGTGGTGATTAATTACAAGCAATCCAGTGTGGCCTATCTCTGCACATGACGCTCTCCGGCATTCGTGTGCGCTGCGAGGCGTAGAGAATCATGACTACTGAAGCTCGGCTTGAGGCCAGGGCATTGGCAGTGTTTCCCTGACCATTCCACTGCACCCCAAATACAGCCCCAAGCGTTGAACAATTCAGGAAGCCTGCGGAACTCCACCGAAAACGGAAGAACCGGGAACCCGAGAGACTCCAAAAGGAGCCTGTACCAACTCGAGAGCGAGCTCCCACTGTGCAGCCTTCTCGCAGGCGCCTCCAAACTGAGATGATTCATCGATTGAGGCTGAGGTTTCCGTCAAAGAGCTAAGCTTTCAGCTAGATGAAGGATTTGAGTTTTTGGCTCGGTTTAGAACAGTTTGGAACACGAGTGGTCCAGGCGTAATGTAAGACTGGTTTGTATTACCTTCCATTTGGAAGCATGAGAAATGCATGTGTATGGACGGTGTTAGGGTTTGCGCTCAACTGAGGTGAACATGCAGACACTTTGCAGACGCACGGCAGAGGCAATGGCTGATGCCCGCATTGAAGGAGATGAGGTCAGCAGTTGTTCTGCTCCCACCTGCGCTTTTTGGAACTTCTCGGAACAACTCTGGCCGAAAGATTTGAAATGCAGCCCTCTCTGGAGCGCACCGTTCGCCTGAAGCTACAGCCGACACTCAGAGCTTCAAACCAGTCTACCGCACAGACAATATATCCGGCAAAGCCATTTGCTGTGAGACGGACATGGTCAAGAACTGATGCTTGAGGGACATCAAACCTCAAGGTTTTGGGCTTAAGAAAGATTTTGAGTTCTGAAGAGTGGCCTCCGAGCAAGTCCTCCCACAGAAGGAACAGTGCATGCCTCGGTTTGGGGTAGGGGCAGAATTGGTGAAGAATTAAGACCCAACAATCTTTCTGAAAACTTCCACTTTATCTGTACTTTTTGTCTGTCTCCTCGTTCAACTTGCCATATCGAACGGACAGGATACATCGGATGGTCGTCAGCGTGGAAGTATGTCCTTGGTCCTCGGAATCGTTCGCCGAAGTGCCCGACACTCACCCCGAAACGTTCGGGGCCCCTGAGGCAAAGGCCTCTGAATCTGTGACCTCCGGTACATACGAAGGATTCATCCGTGCCCCAGCATGCATGTTATGTACTTGTGTACACGGCTGCAAACGAACATCCATCCATCTATCCATCTATCCATCCACCCATATGTACAGAGACATGTTTCGTATGTACACACACACACAGAGTAGGAATCGCCATAGCCCTGGCTGTCCATGAAATCTCGCATCAGGAAAAGCGGACCCCACCCTTAATCACACGGCAGGCATCTTCGACAGTACTTCGACTCCAGGAAGGTATAAAGTAGCACCTGCAGACCTGCACATGGAAGCTTACATATGTCTTTAACAATCATCCTCGCGCTTACGCTGGGCACCGCACGTCCAGGCACTGCTCTTGGCACAGGCAGAGACCTCGGTTTCATGAAGGCCTTAGGTTGAGCGCTTTCTCACCCCGCGTGCCTCTTCGAAGCTTCAGGCATGCCTAGTCGGCAGGGGTGAGTATGTTACGGCACGCTTGTGGATGATTCTTTCGCCGTGGTGCGTGCAGTATGGCAAAAGCAGGCCTCTTGCTGTAAGGGCGGATGGCGGATGGTATCGGGGGAGGGAGAGGTCTCCAGCGTCACATAAATCACTCAGCTACACGCTAAGGAGGGCTACTAGACTATTCTTGTTGTCAGCGCACACATCGGATTCGACCATAGAAGCTCATCGGGATGCTTTTCTGTTCGAATATCTATAGAGGACTCTGTGGCTCATGTAAGCAGGCCTTCTGATTCTGGGGGCAGGGCGACCGTGTTGTACGAGACCTTGGGCTCTGGCTTCAGCTTCCACCGCAGCCGCAATTCAGTCCAATTCCCTCGATCGAAACATAAGCTGGTTGCAGCCGTCAAGAATGGATGTGAAAAGTCATTGCAAGAAAATATCTTAGCACACCAGCAGATCCTGAAGCATCTCTGCGCACGCTATACCGCAACATGATACACAGTCCACCAGACGCCCCGCCCCAGAGCCACTACACTGATGGACCTGCCATCTGTCGCACTTGACCCTCGAAGTGATGCTGACTTGCGCTATTATTTGGTGCGGAGGTCAGACGTAGTGCGGGTCTCTGTGGCTGCCGCTTTTGAAAGCCACGAAAGTGCAGCAACATCGGGACTTGGATTGGCATCTCGCGGCATGCGTGTTGTCCTGTCCAATCCCCTGTTGCTGGTTCTGGCATAGTGCTGGAATGGCAGACCTGGGCTGCACACATGTACCGGAACTTCCCAGGGAAGATGGGTGGAGAACGCACTTCTCTGAGAAGCACATCCACGAAAACTGGCGTGCTCTGAGACACTCTGCTGCTGGAGGGCAAACACACAGACTTCGACCCATGGATTCGAGATCTGGTAGTGTAGAAGGTGGAAGATCGAGAGATGATCCGAATGTCGTGCTCGACAGGGGTTGCCAAGGTGCACAATGGGTCCCCTACATGTCAGGAATCCGTCGCAAGGACGTCTGCAACCAACGACGATGAAGGGTGGGTCATCTCTCACCTCCTATGCTACGTATACTACCTGGTACATCTCCCTATATGAATTTTGAGAGTAGTTGCTCTTCTTGACTCTGTGAAAGAAAGTGAGCTTCAGCAGGAGAGAGTCCGAATCCGGCGATGCTCCATTGAACTGAGACCATGGGGCCCGGGTCTGTTGAAAGGTACATACAAGTACAACAGGCGCAAGCGCATATCCTGACTTGATGGCGTTCGCGGTTCAAACTCAGCCGAAACTGCTTGGCTGAAACTCGGAATAGTCCTTGCCCAACGGCTCTGGTCGCAGTACTGTTTGGTTCATCGCCTCGATCTGTACAACATGGAGCAGAGCTGTACCTGCGGATCTCATGCCGCAACAGAATCCTTTGGAGCGGGTCTCGTGCATCGGCTTTTGGCCCTCGTTGAGTCAACGAAACCCCGTCTGCCGAAAGCCAAGATTCATGCGGCAAAGTAGACGTGACAGGCAGGGACAGCCGTGACGCTTTGCTCCAAGCAAAGCGTGCAGCAGTGCCACGATCGCGCACCCTGGTCCGGCTGGAGTGAAGCAGTTAATCGGGTTCATGATTATATGGCGGTCTTTATACTCAGTGCAGCAACTGCCAACCGTCTTGGCTACATGTACGCTGCCAATCTTTGTCAAGGGTTAGGACGAAATCACTGCCGCGTGACCTGATAGAGCCAGCAGTCTGTAGCAGACTGCCCGCCACATCTGTCTCAATAATCAATATTGTCGCAAGAGATCGGCTGGGTCCTATTAAGCTGTGTCTGTGCACGCATCATTGGATGTACGCATGTGCAGCTAGTCTTGTGTCTGTGCCTTTGTATGTGACCACGCATGTATGCATGTATGCACCCATACGCATATACACTAAAACATGCAGAGGAAGTGAGAGATGCAGGGGCTAACAATGGATACTAGCAAAAGAGCTGTGCACACATAAGCAGGCAAGCATGCGTGCAAGCAAGCACATAAGCATCTATTCGATACATGGCGAGATTGGCATATAGACAGACACATCAAGAGGCAGATCTATCTATCTAGCTCTATATGGCTCTCTCTCTCTCTCTATATATCTCCTCTCTGTGCGGCTAAATGAAGATGCACGTAGACGACCGAGTGGCCGTCTGCTGTAGAATTTGCTTCGGGGCTTCCCGGCCAGGCTGAGCAGCAGCTCTGTCTTGAAACGTCTGGGGCAGCGGAACGGCTTACGGCCAAGCCTCTGTGCAAGTCACTGGCTGAGGCAGTTGCACCGAGACTTGGTATGAAGTGATCTTTGTCATCTTCTTTTGCTGGGTGTCGAAAGAATGTTGGAACCTGCCCAACCGACAGATCCCACCGAAACGTCAGGGACGAGCATCTATGCGTCGGGTTTTTCTCCTCTCATGCTGGTGTTGGCTATGGCTACACAACAAACTGGTATTCTGGTTACGCTCTTGTGCGATGGCGTTGAGACCCGGGGCATTAGAGAGATGCAAGCTTCCTGGGAAAGTTCTTCCATTTATCACAAGTCCTACAGCTGCCAGTGACTACGCAGTCACGCAACGGTGCATGCTATCATGTGTTGTTATGCAGTGAAAGTCCATAACATATACGCCTGCTTTTCAGAGTCTGTGTTCCACGTTCTCACTTTCCATCTGTCTACCCGTCTTTCTGTCTGTGTAACTACCTATCCATCCACCTACCCTCGCTTCCCTACCCTACCAACCCCCATGTCTATCTTGTCTACATACCTGCCTAAATATTTATCATGCTGACTAGCTAGCAGATATTTAGACACAGACATCCACGCGTACATGCACACATGCGTGCAAATATATTATGTATACACACACACACACGCACACACCCACCACCACCACCGTCGCCAGCAGCAGCAGCAGCAGCAGCAGCAGCAGCAGCAGCAGCAGCACCAGCAGCAGCAGCAGCAGCAACAGCAGCAGCAGCAGCAGCAGCAGCAGCACCAGCAGCAGCAGCAGCGGCAGCAGCAGCAGCAGCAGCAGCAGCACCAGCAGCAGCAGCAGCGGCAGCAGCAGCAGCAGCAGCAGCAGCAGCAGCAGCAGCAGCAGCAGCAGCACCAGCAGCAGCAGCAGCAGCAGCAGCAGCAGCAGCAGCACCAGCACCAGCAGCAGCAGCAGCAGCAACAGCAGCAGCAGCAGCAGCAGCAACAGCAGCAGCAACAGCACCACCACCGCCGCCATCACGACGCCGATGCCGACGACTGATGCTATGGCTCCTCAGTCCGACCGCGCGGGAATCCAGAGAGGTGCCCGTTTGTCAGAGCAAGGCTTAGGCAGGGAAACTCACACCAGCCGCGACAAGACCTCCAGACTGTGAACCTCAGTATGTGCTATCTGCCTAATGTGCTTCGAGCTTGAGTTTCCGTCACACATCACTCGCTGTACCCACGTAGAGATACCTCTCTACCCACAGACATGTCAACACGCCCGCGAAGGCCACGCACTTTGGGATCCTATTCTCATCCACAGCCTGGGGCGATCTCTAACCATTATCAAGGCTGGCATGGTGTGGTGAACTGCATACAATCATAGGCCACGGTGTGCAAACCCAAAGCGAAATGCCTACCACGATTCCAAGATTGCAATACTAGGCAACCGAACAAACACTGTGTGCATATTAATCTGCATGTGTACGAGTATATGTATCTGTATACTTGTGTATAAGTGCGTATATCAGATTACATGCAGTATCAGTCAGTATGCTCACACGTGCAAAGCAATGTGTGCCTGGAACCCACGGTAGTAGTAAGCTCAAACCACGACAAGGACACACTCCATGTCCCCGTGGGCCGTTCAGCTTCCCCTCGAAACATGCCGCAGCATTGAGGTGGTCGCATCTGAAGCTTCAAAAACAAGGACAGTTCACTAGCGTGTTTCCGATATCAGGCTCTACAGTGCCAGAATGTGGGTACGAGGCTTCAGCCACGAGAGGAACATGCTGCCGGAGGGTCGACCTGGATCTGATCCGGTAATACTTTGGGAATGCCAAGTAAATTTCGAAGATTGATTTCACACGATGAGGAAGCTGGAATCTCAGCTTTGCAGATCGTTGGTGCATTGTGCTTATGGCTCCTGGCCGCATCGGGGTACCGCTTCGTAACGGCAGCTGAGGTTAGTAAGTACATGCAGTTTGGAAGTATTTTCATGGCATTTACTTGGATCCTGCCCGAAGGCTCTGTACACATGGCTCGGCAACGAGCGGCCCTCTGCGAATTGAAAGCTGGAGGCAGCAAGCGCATCGCTAATGATATTTCAGGCGTGACTTCATTTTGGCGGGCTTGGCGATGCGGCTTCTGTCAAGAGTTGTGAGGGCACGGCGCTGAGGCCTCTCCGATTCCGTCGTGTTGCGCTCCGTGCCCGAAGGGTTGATTGTCGGGTGTGAAGGTCTTGGCTTCAACGGAAGGGACACTGCCGGCCAGTATGAATCAGCTGCTACAAGAGTCCAAACATCAGCGAGCTTGCCTGCCTCCATAGTTGAAAATTCTTCAACCCCAAGCTGCTCATCTTCAGCTTTAGGTTTGACCATTACAGAAGCCTGGTCTGGCACACGTGCTCGGGGTGATCTGGTTTCGCGTACTTCCATAAGGGGCATGTGCAATGGTGCTGCATGGAACCATATGTATCGGCCCCAAATATGGCACACATGCAGGTTGCTGTGTTATGTTGTCTAAAAAGATCTACACTCATCAGGTCCAGCTATTGAGCCGGCCAGGGAGTCGCGTGCATCTCTGGCGCAAGAGCTAAGCCCTAAACCCAAGTGAGCAGCCTGTTCGAAGAGCATTGGAAACATGCCATTCAATCAGGTCACCCAGTTTGGCTCAAAGGCAATCCAGTTGCTTGCTGCATCCGGACTTCTGCTTCTTGATGTTCGGTTGTGGCTGAGAGTGCTACGGCAAGGAAACTTTTCGATGGCGAGTTGACGTGTGCTCATCATGTAGCACGAGTCGGCAGTAGTCTTCGACTTCGTGTTGTTCGCTATCTATGAGATGCCCCGTCTCGCCACTGATTGACCCGACTGATTTGAGACATCGAGGCACAAAGGAAGATCTCGCTGATCTCTCGGCAACTTTGCCGTGTGGGGGCGCACTTAAAGCCACCGCACGTCCTGAGAGCCTGTAAGCCAGCAATCCAGAATCTGAAACTGAAGCCTCACTAGAAATCCAAATGCGAAACCTCACCTCCTACCGGAATGGCTGCGTGCGACGCTCCTACAGTCTCTTTGCAAAGCTTTGTGGCGAACCCCAGTCTAGCGATATTTGGGAGGGCCAGGCTCACATGGCTCTCCCCGGCTTTCCGAGCTCCTGCCGGAACAGATCGATGACCTGCAAGGTTCAAGCTCTTCACCGGATGCACAAGGAGCAGTGGGCGCTTGAGTCACACGGAATTGTTGCTGAGGACAGCAGCATGTGCAACTGCGGCTGCTTCAATGAGAGCTCTTAAAAACCGCCTCCCCCAGGCGAAGTTCTCAAGCCGACATCGCCTTCTCCGACCCATCATCCAAGGCGAGCTGGAGCTGAATCAAATCCTCACAAACGTCTCACCGTTTCGTGGAAAGGGCTTCAGGGCTGTGCTTTAGGCTGGAGAACTTCAGATCTCTGCTGTCTTTGCAACGCTGCTGACTCCTTTCCCTCAGCTGTTCAACCAACGACTCTCGTTGGAGCTCAACTTCTACCCCAAAGCCCCAGATGCCGGAGTAGCTTTTCAAGGGGCCATTGCGAAGGCACCCAAGAAAGCCGAGCGTCTCTGTCCAACTGCAGGGAAGCTGCAGCCTGAGCCGAAGCAAGTGCCTGGAAACCTTTGCTCTTCTCGTGCTCAACTGTTGGATATGCTAGATGGCTACATGGAGCCCTCTGCCGGTCACGTTGAAGTGTAACTGCCACGGCGGTTCGAGGACTAATTCACAAAGCTCAAGACCACTGTTTAAGACTTAGTTGCCCTCCAGAATCCTCCAGAGCATCGAAGCGTGCCTCACAAACAGGCCCGTAAAATTTAAGCCCAAACAACTTTATCGCCAGCCAATACCACACTACTGTGCAAAGAGAAAATAATACGCTTGCACAAAAATCACGTAGTGAATTGTAACACATTGTAGCAACACGTACCGTAAGGGATCATGGCACAGTAGAGGACATCATAGCAAAGGATGCCATGACACATCCACAGGTCATCTGACCTAACTTAACATATAGCACCCGAACATAGCACAGCACAGCCTAGCGTAGCACAGCACAAGATCTTCCGCATGCCTGCGCGCGTGTTCTAGCCCACTTTTGCAAGGGTTTGCTGGACATGCCATGTTCGCACTCTGCAAACTGAAAGCTGAGGCCATCGCGGCCTGCCCTTCTCGGATCAACTCCTGGAGCAAGGGTCAGCCCTTTCGCAACGCGGATGCCGTCAGTCTTGCAACAGCCGAACCGTGCACCACCAGGGTCTGAAGCACTCAATCCTGCCTGTGCGTCCAGCACGTCCAGCGCGTCCGCAATGCTGGAAAGCCCAGCCACGGAGTCTCCACTTTGGTCTGCTAGGCCTTGGCTGCAGGCTTTGTAGAACGGCAGTCTTGCAGCAGCAACTTCCTAGCATTTCTTGTTCGTGAAACTGTCGGGAGGCTCATGACATATGTATTGGACTGAAATGAAACTTCCACATTGCCTCATTGATACTCGTTGCATCTTGCCGCACTGCATCCGAGCCGTGGACTCACAATGGGTGCAATCGTCATGAGCAGCCTGGCGCTTCGAGAGGCGGATCCGACTTCAGGAGAGGCTCGGCTCAAGGAAACTGTGGGTCCCGATTCTTCCCAGGCCCCCTTCTTACCATCTTCAAACCGACACATAGCTCCAGATCTTCAGAACTGCAAGCTGAGCCGACCCTCCTGCAAACTGATCAACAAATCCAACAGCAACTATCTCTGTCCCAGGTCCTCAAGCAGACCTGAATCAGCTCCTTGCAGTCTGTAGCCGTGTGTGCCTCGCGGCTTCCTGCAGGGCGAGGTGCTGCTTCGAGCTGCCATCCTGCGGCCCAGGCTCTCCATTAACACAAGCACGCTTCTCTCTGGGAGCTAGGCAATTTGCAAGACTCCACTTGAGAGTGGCAGGGTGTTGTGTCACATAAACACGAGCCACCGTGCTGAAGACAAAAATGGTGTGGTAGAAGAGCGATTTGGAAAAGAATCGCTTGGCAGATCTCCCAACACAGAAGCCGCCGGATCCGTAGCTCTGGGTGCAATGAAACATCACACAGTCAAAGCAGCTGTCCTCGAACAGGCCGTTCACCCATTCAACTGCCACCTGCACAAAACAAACGCTCGACACCGACAAAACACAAGACGGCTCCCACAGTGATCCCACAGTGATGCATCGCAGTGATGCGGCTGCCAAGTGCTGTTAGACGGGCCATGAGCATCGACTAGAACCTTCTGCCATACGAAGTACTTTCTGCATCTCGCTTGGACGCCTTTTCGTGACTTACATCGCGTCGGAAAGTTGTGGTGGGATTTGCGTAAAGTCCGAGCGCCACCCCGAAGTCGCTACGAGTGACACGGACTGCTACATCATGTCTTTTCACTGGAAGCCCTCTCGCCAGGGCTAGGGATGGGTGATTTCTGCCCTTTGGGTCTAGCATTACGTGTGCATGGTATTGACAACTCATGACTGCAGTGTCAAGCTCCGGAGTTTCAGTATTGAGAAGGCTGTCAAAGTTGTCACTCGTGTCGTTCCATTGCGTATCTCCTCCTCCTCCTCCGCCTCTAGCTACTGCTGCTTGAATTGCTATGATGATGACGGTGATGACGACTGCATTATTATTCTTTCCTCGTCGTACTCGTACTGCTACCACTCCCACCAAAACTGCAACGACCACATCTGCGACAGCTATCAGAACAAGAGATGCTCTCAAATGGGCAGCCCTAAGGTAGAAGGGAGCTTCCGAAAATAGGGGGACCCTAATCTAGTACCCTAAATAGTAGGATCCTTTATTTAAAAGCCCCAAAATGAGGTGCTAGTACCCCCTAACTTTCGGAAACTCCCAAAAGAATCCCATTTTTCCCAGAGTCCCGGCCCAGGCAGCGGCCTCGGGAGCTGCAGCCGTCGAGACGCCCTCCGAAAAGCGCCAAAAGAGCGAAGGAGAGCGTAGGGTAGGGAGTCGGGGGGCCCTTAATCATTAGACTAGGGTCTTGGGGTCCATTATACTATAAAAAAAATGATGGTATGGTAGGGGGGGCCTTAATGGTGACAAGAGATGGTTTGAAATACTATGCATTATTTATTCCGGCCGCTGATTCGGTGAGGAAAGCACCAGCTTTTAGCAGGTACCCAAGCAGTCTTGGCACTCCCCCGAAAACCTTTTCTCAACCGAAATCGACCCCAAAAAGCATCTCCGAGCGGAGCACGAGGCCCGAAAATCAAGCGGTCACCCTTCGGGCGGGCAGGGGCATGACCCTACGCTTGGCCCGCACTTTGTCACCACTTGGCACGGAAAGCCCTGGAGGTCAGCTTCCTTCAATCCCTGCTGCTTCTTTGCCCCCTCGCGTGCCTTGACCGGGCTTCTTCTGTTCGCGCCTGAAGATGCGACCGGCTTGGACGAGCTAAGCCCTCTGCAGACTTGGTAATGCCGTTGCCCACCCAACTTTCCAGATCAACGATCAGAGTGCCTTGGAACATCACGTCAATGTAACGAAGCTCGATTGAGCTGGTAGAGATTCAGAAGAACGCACATATTTGCTACAGGGATGTGCTAAGGATTTTCGTTGAAATCGAGATGCAAGTGGCAACGTGCACACATCATATGCCACTACCGCGATGACTAGACGTCGGCCGGCTTTCTGCATCAGCAAGAGTTACTTGCAGGGCTGGACAATGCGGCCAAGTCCAACAGTCGCAACCCGTTAGCCTCTAGCACCGCCACCCTGTATGCCGCCTGGGACAGCCGTGTCAATGGACGAATCTAGAGAGGTCAGAACAGGTCGAGCTGCTCGGCTAGAAGAACCTTTTCATGTCTATTATGTGTGTGACAAACAGTGTGCCAACCCTCCACGAAACGGCACCTTAAACGTCCCGCCGACCCTTGCATCCCGGCCTTGGATGGCAGCATAGCTCCTGTTTCTTTCTGGATGCAATCGATGGCTCTCATTTCTGGCCCACCGCAGTCAACATGGAGCCTCAGCCTTTGAGGGTGTCAGATTTTGGGTCATGCACAAAGCTGACGCATTCGAGCGATTCCCGGTCCTGGCCAGCCCCAGCACCGTAAGCAGTGCCAGGGGCAGGGCAAAGCGCAAGCAGCGGCGACGGACCTGACTCCAACTTGTGAGAGGCTTGCAGGCGCCTTCAGACTTCTTCACGCCTAGCTGGGTCTTCTCCTATCAATCCGGTAATAGAAACGGGAAACATGCAAAAGCATGAAATGAAAAACTCCTACCTTTAGGCACAGACCAGGAGCACTGTGAGCATAGGACTGTTATGTTGCAAACTTGTCAGAACAGTGCTCAGTTAGGCATCCTCGATGGCCACACTCCTAATAATCGGATTCCTGCTGGATGTGGTGCTGTGCGGATGTGGAAAGGTCGCTCAGTTGGGGTCCAGTGCTGCGCTGCAAGGATGTCCGGTACATGGAATTATTTACCGAAACTGTTTCTCTACCGAAATCGGTGGGGTTTGCCTCTGCTGAAAAAGTTGGAAATGCCGTCGGCTTCAGCTTTGCGTCTTGTGCACAGAAAAGGGGTGCCAGGGTGCAAGGTCTCTACTGGATCAAGAGCAGCTCTATGATTCCCTTGCGTACCGGACTTTGATGGCCTCAAGCGTCTGAAGCTGCAGTCCCACGCAGCTCCAAGCCCAAACTCACCTGTACCTGTTCAATCTCCTCTTCTTCTCTGGTAAAGCGCTTGCCTGTGCCTGCTTCGCCATCTCTGTGCCTCCTGCAGCTGCAGTGAGACTTTGGATGTCAAAAGACAGCGGATGTGAGCAAGTGAGTGTGTAGCATGTAAGCATGCATGTCCAGACCCACGCGCACAAGAAAATTTGCACCCATTTGCATGTATATGTGCATAATGAACAAAAAAGTATATGTATATACACATACATACATCCATGCATACTTACTTGCTCACTTACATACCCACACATCAAATCTGCACACCTACATGCGGTCGTTTACATGCCAAACCGTTGCATGCTGCATTGACCACAGGCCCCGCCTCCTGCGCCGCAAGTGAAGTCTCTAACCGATTGGAAAGCCCGAATGCTTCGAGGCGCGAGCGGGAGTCCGACGCAGTGTGGGTGTGGGATCATGAAGGGTTTTCCTGTTCGGGCTACAGGGACACCTGTCTGATGCTCCTCTCGAAAACTTGTCGTGTTTGGGGGGTTCTTCACGAGTCAGTCAACCCCGTCGATTTGCAGACACATCCACGAGAAATGACAGACGTTCGGGTTGCATAAGCTTTGAATAAACCGATCTGTGCTCCTTGCCTGAGCATGGGCTGTGCAAGCTTTGCTGGCCGAAGAGACTCGAATGCACGGTGCATGTGGTGCTTCGACAGGTGCTAAGGACTGGTCAACACATCCTGGGCCTGCTCTGTTTTGGTCTGGGTGCGTATCGGTGCGACGGTCTGGTACCGAGTTTTCATGAGCTTGTAACGGGAAGGGTCTGAGTGCCCAATGTAAACTGAAGCTTCAGTGACTCGAAACATGGAGAGCAGCAACATCAGCTTTGTGGAAGCGCCAGATCGGTCAAGCTACTTGACCGGCTTACTTTGCATCAACAGCATCATGTGCACGTGTTCTTGCAGCTGTCATGTCCGCCACCACCACTGGTAAGCATCTGACAATGATTGCCTACTGCCGTCAATTCTCGCCACTACCATTTTAGCACCGCCCACTGCGCGCGCAGCCCTCCCAAGTCTCGAAGCGGCTCGACCTTCCACTGTCCCTCTGAGAACCAAAGAAACTCGGGAACTCCAGGGTCCATCCAGTCATCCAAGGTCTCGATGCAGTGCCCTGTGTAAGATCCGCTGGTTCTCGTCCTACTGTTGGCCCTGTCGGCTGCAAATACACTGTTTTCACGGTCCTTCCATGGCACATTGCTAGAGTATGTTCCAGAAAAGAGTTTCATACAGAGCCAACAGGCAGGTGAGCAAGGCTACCACCATCAAACTCACCAGTTCGAAGTAGTCTGCGACGGCCAGCCTGTCAGAGATGCACTGCATGGGGCTCCCCACAGCCTTAAGGCTTAGGGGTTCGGCTCGGCTCTGGCATTCTTGGCCAAAGCCTGCAAGGAAACGGGCGAATTCACACATTGCATGACGGCCCAAAGTCAAAGCAATCTGCAAACCCTAACAACTATGAGCCTGTCGGTGCTGCGGAGTACAGTCTTAGCAGGCTCGTGCGGCCCCCCAAAAGGCTTGACCTTGGAGTCTAATCTAAGCCGTAACTATATAACACACACACACAGAGTTCCGAAGCCGCAGTTCCTGCGTCCACCCCGAAACCACGCCCTCGTATGTCCCGACAAAAGCCTTGAACACCCTACAAAAATGAAACCCAACGCCTAACCGGCAAACGTCATCACCGATCACCACTCGTGGGCCTCAGCGCACTGGGCTTCGGCTCCGGTCGCGCTCGGCACCCCACTGGCCAAGCAAAGGATTCTCCTGCGCGCGAAGAAGTACACAATGCCTGCAGGAAACAACGCCTAAAGGAAACGGGTTAAATGAGTGAAAGCAAACAACAGTATTGCACATACAGGAAAAGAAACACACAGACGCGCGACCCCACCCTGATTCTCAGTGGAGGGGTCCTGCTGTATAAATCAATCTCTCTCTCTCTCTCTCTCTCTCTCTCTCTCTCTCTCTCTCTCTCTCTCTCTCTCTCTCTCCATGTATATATATATATATACATATGTGTATATACAGAGTCACAAATAAGTGGATCGACAGCTAAATAGATAGGTAGGTAGATCGACGTGACAGAAGGATCGATAGATAGATCAACGGATCGATCGAAAGATAGAATCTGGCTGAATCCAATTGTATTCACCTCGCAAGATCTCGGGGAGGGGTTGAATTCGGGATGCTAAAAACGCTGTGGCTAGCCTGCAGAAGTCTTCAAAAGTTTCGCTGTCTTCAGCGATCTCGAAGTCCTTACTGGTGATGGTGCTGATCGGGATGGTCTTCCAAATCTTTTCGTTGTCCGCAAACACGATCTTCACGCCTGGCGCAACAGCCGGGATCACTCAACCACATCGAAACATGCACAAGAGAGCCCAGTCTAAACTTCATGGGTGGCCTCACCGAACAACGTGGCACAAATGACAATCATGAACGTCTTGATACCCAGTACGTATCGCGTCGAAGCGAAACACATTGAAAGATTGTAGACAAATCCTTTCTTTGGAATCGGACAGCCCTCATTCGTGTATTTGCTAATAGGTTTCTCAGGCAAAGCGCTGCCCTTCTCCACCGAGATATCTTTCACGATGACCTCCAAGGTTTTTCCGGACGAAGCCTGACGGGAGTGTCCGAGGTGCCGGGATCAAGGGTTAGGGATCAGATGTCTCATCTTGGAGTTGGTGTTGGGGCCAGGAGGTCCTGTTGCAGATGCACGCTGTGGACATGGGATTTGGTCGAAGGGAGAATGGAGCTCCCTAGTTCAACATCTATTGAACGATCCTGAATATGGTTTAAGGGGTTTTGGTGTGGCTTGTCTCAAATATCCGAGATCTGGAAACTCCCAGAAGGCTTGGAAGGGTTTATACGCTTTAGGGGTGCAGTCGTCGGGGTTTCTAGAAGCCGCAATTCGAAGTGTCTAGGAAGCTCTGACCAAGAAGCCCCGAAATGCAAGATTATGGAAGGATCTCGACATCCCGAAGGGTCCAAAGTGCCCAACAACATATCCCAAAAGGGTCCAAAGTATCCCCAAAACTAGGATAAACTAGGTACCTGGGTTTAATATTTGTAGTAGTGATGCAGATTGGATTTCAGCGAGGCTGCACTTGCAGGATCAGGGCACTTAGCAAGTAGGTCTTAAATGGGGTCGCCTTACTGATCACCCCTACTTCTTACCACGCTGCTCAGCAGACCTTGTAGAAACAGTAACGTATACTACACTAATTTTTGCAAGGCTATCTAAACGTGGCGATGTTGATGATGCTGCTGCTGACGATGATGATGATGACGACGACGATGGGGATGATGATAATTATGATGCTGATGATGGCGATGATGCCGTCAATCATGGGGATGATGATGATGATGATCATGATGATACCGACGCTGATGCTTTCGCTGATGCTGATGCCGATGCTGATTCATGACGACGACAAGTCTTTGCGAGCTCCTTCGCAAGTTTTTCCTTCACCTGGCCGTGTCTATGGGTTGGTAAGCACCCCTTTGGTATCGTACACTTTTTGCATGGTCTGCGATTCGCGCCTTGTAGCAAAGATGCGAGTCGATGTGCACCCAGGGCCTAGGTCCAGCATACAGTCGCTCGAGCTGCCACAGTGTGCCCGTCTGCACACGTTCCCTCTTTGTCGTATGCTATGTGCTCAACCCGTGTTGTTGTCACTCTCCCCGCTGCAATCGAGCCACCATGGCCATGTCTCTCTGCGACTTCTTCTTGTCATTACGTCTGAATGCCAGTCAGACACAGCACAACCCCACCATCAGCCTCGACGACCTGGGGTTGACATCAATCCTCATCGAAGCCCATCAATTCAGCTCACACCCGCCCTAAACTGCCTGTCCCCCCGAATCCGGAAACCCCTTTCTAGAACTCGGGTCCGAGCGGGAAGTCCGGAGGCGGTGCACGCGGAGGCTGGACTCCTGACATCCGGCTCAAAAGGAGAGCACTGTAAGGCGACAGTGCTCCGAACTCCCTCTGACCCGGTGCCCATCAAGGACTCGGTCCTGCGCTCTGTGCGCCGACGAAGTTGGAGGCGCTCTTCCAAGCCCCAGGCTTCCTTGGGTGAAACAAGAAGAGGAAGAAGCGCTTCCTTTGACTCCTTGTCCGTGTGCATTTGAATCGCGCAGGATGCAGGACGTGTGCTAATTACACTCTGAGGCTGTAAAACAACCGGTGCTCAAGGCTTCAGCAGGACTGCAAGAAAGAGCCTTCAACAATCGATGCTTGCTGGCAGAGGTCACTTCCAAATGGGCGCCCGCGACACCTGAGGCCATCAGATCAGAGGTCTTGGATTTCGGTTTCAGGACTTGTGCTCTTTCGGCTGCACCGAGCTGCTCCAGAGGCTTCCACAAGCCAGAGCCCCAGAGCCCGGAGGAGGCCTCTCTGCCTTTTCAGTTCTAGGCTCGCCCGGGCTCCAGACCTTCGCCGGCTCCCTTCAGCAGCATTGCCTTGGAAAGCTAGGCCCTAGATTTATGAAGCTCGCCAATAAGCCAGCCCGGACAAACAAGAACAGACTTTCAGATCACTTCGAGGCCCAAACGTAGAGATTCTTCCGCCCAGGCCCTGCTCCAAGGGACTCGGGGGCGATTGGCAGATCTCCGGAGTGTGCGCGAACCTGACAGGGAAGCTCTGTCCCTCGAGCTTGTTCCAGCCTTTACCAGTGAGTTCATGCGATGCAGGAGATAAGGCCGCTCCGCTGCAGCACCAATTGTTATGCTTGACATTGACATCTTCATGCGTGAGTAGAGTCAGGTTGCGAAGATGTGTGCATTGCAGCATGAGGTCCGCTCAATGAGGGCCAGGCATTTCCGGGACTGCCTCCCTGCAGACCTCCCGCCAGGAAACGCCAGCGATACAGTTGTGGCTGTTTGGAAATCCTACTCGACCCAATATGTCTGCTTCCAGATCCTGCGGCAGAAGACAGAATGCAACCTTCTGTCAGGAACTGTCCTACCAGCACAATGGGAGCGCAGCACATGCAAGATTCTGCAGCCCACACAGGGGACTGATGAGTTGCCAACAGAGCTAACTCCCTCTCGCCATTGAGATTGTTCGAAGCATGAGCCGCATGTACCTCAGATCGTCCTTGTCGACTTGCTAGCTACCTTTCGCACGTCATCCCTTTGAATGCCCAGGCGCGCCTATCCGTCCTTTCCTGCCTCCAATCCACATGGCTGAGACCGCTCTGCTTAGCTACCGTACAGTCAGAAAAAGGGCACCAAACATCAAGGACGTCTTGCGACCTGCACGTACTCTGTCATGCAACATGATAATGCGGCAGTGCCCTGAAGCCAAAGACAGCGGACGAAGCCCAAACTCCGGTTGACGGAAAACGTGGATCGACGAGCTACGATTAGCCGCTTGTTAGGATCATGCGGGTATTGAAGCATTCTGCAGAAGGGCAGGGTTGCGGTTCATGGATGACGGCCCCAATGCTCCACGGGGCGCACAGGCAGCTTAGGGGAGGTCTGTCTGGCTTTCAACCTCCAGCCCCGGTTGAGTCTAGGAGTCCACCCTGCCGCAGCAAAGCGCGGTAAAGAATCGCTTGGTGCTTCTTCCCGGCCGGGCTGCTTCGAAACAGAGCAATGGCGTAGGCTCGCAGCCCCGGTTGGGGTTCACTGTGGCAATTAAACCAACACAAACATGAAATCATAGGCCACTCCAGGGCAGTCGGCCTTGCAAAGGATACAGAAGTTACTGCAGCTGAGCTTGTTGCCACATCCGAGTCGGCTGCGGCCACCAGCAGCGACAAAGCCTGCGCACAGCTGCTAGTGATCAGGGCGTTCTTTTGCACTCGCGACGGTGCCCCTCGCCCTGCACCTGTTTTCTTGTGAAATATCCTCGCCGCTGATGTCCTGAGCCCTGCATGAAGCATGAGAGAATCAAACTTTCTGGAATCCGGGATCTTGGCCAGCAGCGGCGGAGGGAATGAGGGTCAGAGCCTTTACAGCCTTCTCGTGAGACTTCGAGGGCGCGCCCCTCCGCGTCCGAGGGCCGAGCTTCTTGAAATAGCTGCCCAAGCTGTAAAGAAATCTCGTCGAGAGGCCGTCGTGAATCTGCAGTTTTGGGTTTTTTTCAAGGGATACGCCGGCAGAAAGGCGTGTTGCCGGCCCTTGAGAGGGTCGCGCCAGATCAAACAGTATAAACAGTTGAGAGTCCCACGGAACTGCAGCAGGGAAGCCTTCTAAGGACCCTTGCAGCCACGATTCTTTGGAAGGGAAGACAATGTAGTGCGGGTGTGGTGCAATCCTTGCATGCCTCGTGCCAGCATTGCAGCGTAACACAAAGTACGCCGTCGTTTCCTCCTTGCTTCAGCGTAGGATTTGACAAACCAGTGTAACAAATTGACAAAAAGGCGAGAGCCCTGGCCTAACTTTTTTACGTGTATGTAGGCTTCCACGATCCTTTGAAAAGCATCCCGAGTGCAGCGCCTCAAGCATCGCCGCTTAGCAGCTCCGCACAAAGCATCTCGCGAATCAGTCTCTCGATGGCCGGATGTCTTTAAAGTTTCCTCTGGTGCTTGGCAGGTTTATTAGACCTGGCAGAATTTCACTACAGAGTTGGGGATCCGACCTCTTCAAACAACCCGAGACCCTCTCAAGTCAGTAAGAGCAACAGATGGACTGTGAGAGAGAGTGAGAGAGAGAGAGAGAGAGAGAGAGAGAGAGAGAGAGACAGAGAGTGACTGAGTGAGCTAAGCGGCGGCTGGCTCTTCTCGGATGCAAGGACTCCGTGCAACGCTGCGGTTTCTTTATTTGGTTGCGGTTGGCTGCGTTGCCGGAGCATCATGAGTAACCTAGGAAACAGAACAAGTCAGAAACGAAGCGACGGTCCTGCTGTGAAAGTCAACAGTCACCAATGGCCATAGGTCTGTAGCGAGGCAATGACAATTATGTTGAGATTTTGATGGGCGGCTGAAGTAGGATCAAGCGATTCGGGAGCCGAACTGTTCCGCAGTCTTTGGCTTGTTGGCAGCATCACAAAGATCCTGCTCGGAAACAAGCCAGAAGCGATCGATTGGCTTCCGTCTGTGTGCAGAAGCGCAACAGCGGAAAGCTTCAATCCAACCTGGACGTTGCTAAGGTAAGCGACAAGGCTCTTGCCACGTCAGTGCCGGTGCGCAAGGAATGCTTTGGGCACTGCTACTTACAGTTCTCCTTTACTATACTTGTGAGAACTCGCGAAGATGGCAAGGGGAACTGCGACTTTTTCCCCTGGGATCTTCATCTTAAACTTTGCCTCCTCTTCCAATTGCTCTCATGCCCCCGAAGGACTACACGAACCTTAAGAAGCTTGTGGTCCATACGCTGCAGAGAGGGTATATAGTGCAAGATTGTTTCCACGACCATCGCAGCTACTGACTACTGAGCTTCGTCCCTGGCATTCCGCCGCCGCTTTTGCACACAGTGCTACTTTGCATCCTCTTCCTGGTTTCGACTCGGTACCATCACTGTCTGAGAGGTCATTTCCTGGCTTGACCAGAGCACTAAACATGAGAGACGTCCTGAGCAAGGTGGGTTGGGATTTCCGGACGATCAATGCTCGGAGAGTCCCGTAAGAGAATGCGTGGATTACCATGACACCTCAGGTCGTCCTCTGGCTAAATCGAGTCAATGTCGTGGACGAGAAACTTCACGAACAAGCTAGTGACGATTTCTCTGAAGTTCTTTCGCTTAAGTCCCGAATGGATGAACCAGGTGAGTCCCGAAGCATGCAATCGGCAAAGACGCCAATTGGGGTTGATTACCATCACCGGGCCTGTGCGAAGCTTGCCACACCCTGAGATTGGGTGCCCGAAGCTTTGTTACATTTAGGCGCTTTTCGGGTCCCCCGCCAGAAGTCTCGGGCCTGGACTGGGGAGCTGAGAGAAATGTGGCTAGCTGCTAGCTGTGAGCTCGCTTGCACTGCGGCCTTGACGATCAGTTGTCAGGGCAGGTGGGCTCGTCTCAGCACATCCTGGTGTCAAGCCAGTCATCGCTGGCTTCATCCCAAGAGGATTCGTGATGGCAGGCTCATTGAACAGGTCATGCAAAGAATCAGGACCTGGGTCCAACCCGTCCAACATGACCGTATGGGAAGTCGAGACCACACGCCATGCAGCCTGACGAGCTGAGCTGAAGGTGATCGGGAGGATTTGGCAGTCCGGAGCTTAGACATGATCCTGGATGCTGGCAAAAGCGAGGTGACCGTTAACAAGAAGATAGGAGGTTGCGCAGCTTTCAGAACCCTCTTGGGCCATGCCAACGGCAGACACAAACGGCCACTCGTGCATCGTCGAATGACCCGTCAGAATTCTCACAGTCCATCTGAGCAAGGTGGGCCAGCTGTGGGCTTGCAGACCAGCTGACATAGCCTTTACTCCCGGGCTTCTGTTCAGCTTTTTTCTGTTGGCCCACCACGCAAGCTGTCGAGAGACAAACCTGTCCCTCCCTTCCCTCCGGTTCCGTGCAGGCCATGTGCAGAGCATGTTTTGAAATACTTCCCTTAATGTGAACTTCAAGGATCCCATGTGCAAGAGCCTGCAAGGCGATGGAACCTCAGGGACTATGCTGAAATGCATCCACTCACTTGTCGGTCACTTGCGCTCATCACTTCAGTGCCTGCCCAGGCATCGCAGGTGCCAATGATGACCGCTAAATGCTCAACGGACTTCCTTAAAGCAAACATCCACGGCATGGTGTCCGGCCGCCTGGCTTCTGCATGCTCACGACCAGCCGCTTCCGTCTCCCTTTGGGAGTACCTACAATCGCAATCGGTCAAATCGAAACTAGAGCCTTCAGTTCCAGGCTGGCTCCAAGCAAGATTCGGGGTGGCAGGTGGCACCCGACCTATTAATGAGACTCGTGTCTCCATACCCGAACGCCTGCCACATCTCCCGTCGCATGCCGACATGTGACTTCGCTTCATTGCGTTTGGGGAGCTGGAACTGCCCCGGGGCACCCAAACCGCAGTCGATGGCAGCAACCCCGAAGCACCCGATTGGTTAAATAAAAACAACTCAGAGCCTCGAAGCCATCGATGGGGCCAGCCTGCGCGTCAAGAGTTTTCGTTTCCGCAAAGTGCCAAGTGATTCTGGGCTGCCTCTGAAGGCCCATCCATTGACGCAGTCATGTCATGTTTGAAGGGCAAACACCGCAAGGTGTGCTCTTGGCTTGCAGGATCACATTGACATGACATCCAGGACACACAGTGTTGTTGAGCATGCGCGAAACTTCAATGACGAAGAATCACGGTGTAGCGTGGCTTGAAATACTCAACTGGCAATGACCTCGCATGAATCAATGTGTTTGCAGCCCGACCCGAGATTTGCTACTCGACTCATCTGGTGCAGTGTCGCCTCTATCCTGGCTTTGGCCTGCTCCACCACCTGAAGGAAGCAAAGGGGGATGATCACGCCAAGCTCGCTTTGCAGATCGAGATCATAGCGCTTTGATACGCAAGGTCCTAATGTTAGGTTGTAATAAACTACGATACTCATACTGATACTCGCCAAATCTTAAGCGGTCAACTGTCGATTCCATGCTCCATAATGTGCCATAGGACGGCATCGAGAGCTAGAGTGGCTACGAAAAAGCACCGTCAGCACTAGTCATGTCGATGCGTACGGAGAACCTAGTACGTGACCTGAACGTTTAACACCCAAACAGACCTACATGAAGTTTTGATTCTAGGAAACACCGGATCTCTTACCGAAGAGACTGTCACGACTGATGCTCGGATTCAAATTCATTCTAGTGCATGCGGCTTCGGCACAACAATGTCCAGCAAAAGAATACCAAAGGCAAATTTTCCGACATGAATCCACAGACCAGGACTTGAATACATCCAAGGCTTGCTACGAAAGCCAAACCCCGGGGACACCTCTCGGCGTAGCGCCGCGCAGCCCCTCAACCGCCGCGACAAGGAAGCAAAAGCAGCTAAAGCCTGCCAGGTCTCGATCTCTTGTCCTTTGGAAACTTCTTGGTTGGATTTGTGATTTGAGCGTCCCTGCAGCCTCGCCGATGCGCCTTTCCCAATCTCGGAAATGCCTCGACCTGCAACCGAACCTTCCACCCAGCAGTGGATGGACCTCTTCGAGAAAGTCAGCCAGATGCTCGGGCTCTAGCGTCGGAACCTACGGCAGCATGAAAGCAGCAAAGCGTCACCACTTTGTAAAATGTAGCTATATGAAC